TGGGGGGGGGGGGGGTGTGGTTATGATGGTGGTGTGCGGCCAGCTTGCAAGTACCTCGCTATTCTCCCGGGTACCTGCTACCTTCCACCAACACAGGAATAGGGAGGAGCAGAAGCAAAAATTTTATTGAAGGGACAAGATGCTTAGGACTCACCTGGATAATGATATAAAAGAAAAAGCCTTTCATAATCCATATTCTTTTATAAGTAAGACGACTTTCATAAATCCATATTGTGTAGTGGATTCTTCAAATGGGTGGTGTAATCCTATTATCTTAACCAAATGGCAACCTATCCACCACCACCGCCTTTCCAAATCCCCCAAATATAAAGGAAAAGGATAAAAACCGATCTTGGGCATTCCATCATTGCACACCCACCAAGTACAACTCATAAAAATTAGATGTATCTCCACTAAATCTGTCTGTCCTTCCTATGAAGCAGCCACCAAATGTTTGATAGTTAATAACTTACAGACTCGCACTATAAAATGACAAGGATACCTTTAGTACATTCTACCACATTGAGTGTTTCATAGTTCTATAATGATATACCAGTGAATAACAAAAAGGTATTGACTTCAAAACCAATTGCAAGTATATCATACTGGAATACAACAGAAAACAAACATGGATTGCTATTTGATAACGGTATTACAATGATCAATGGTGCAGAAACATGCTGCAAAGCAGAAGTGGACGAAGGAACCTCAGAAATGGTTCACATAAAAGCTACTCAACTTTCTTTACTGTCATCACTATTTTAGGATGAAAGTGAAGAATGGATGTTTCAATTCTATGGTTTGGAGATGGAAATTGCAGTCATCCCTCCTACGTGCATGTAGACACGGAGAAATTGCACTATCATAAGTTTGCAATTACAAAAGGGCCAAGACTTGTAAGTAAACTATTTCGAGAAACATCATATTCATCACTTATCTAAAAGAAATAGAACACATCCATCACCTTCTTAAATATGTTCAAGAGGACACCAAATGGTACTAAACATTAAAGAGTTGTATGGTGCTTACTTCATTTGTACGTGTATCTGAGACTGTGGAAACCACCGCATTGCAGGTTGCACGAATGACGTTGCAATATGAATGTAGTAGTGCATGGGATGACGTTATATCAGGCCTCAAAAGGTATAAGCAAGAAAAAACAGTTTGAGCCAGTGAACAACCCTTATGCCATGTTGCCTGCATTCCAAATATATCAGCCAAAACATACTTCTTGTTCGGCTACTAACAGCTTAGTGTAAGAAGCTAGGAGTACCTCACAAGCAAGAAGATGATCCATAATATCAATGGTACGTTGAACATCAACTGTTTTGTCAAAACTCAAAGGAATAGGAGCAGCACCATATTCAATAGCTTCATCTACTGAATAGTATGTACGAACCATGCCAGAATCCATCTTTGGGTCCATTATCTAGTTCAATTTTATGAAACATGAAAGATAGTGTATCATCATGAAGAAAAAAAATATTCATCAATATATGACAAAAAATAAAAACATATCAAGCAGATTCTACCAGAGAATATCCAAGAAGTCTATATCGTTTCACATAAGTATCAAGAAAAAACAAAAAGAAATGATTGGTGTCATCCTCAAGATAGTCAGAGAATTCAAGGAAAGACACAAAAGTATAAATGTGATATTCAGAGAATTCAAGGAAAGACACAAAAAAATATAAATGCAAAATTACCTCTAACGCAGACATGGCAGCAAAAAGATTAAAATTCCCCCCGTGCATGAGCTCTCCATCTCGAAGATCTAGGACCAAATAATTCGAAACCTTAGTGTAAGAGTCACATAAGGCAATGTTCTTCCTTGAATTACACAGACATAGATGATATTTGACCACATAAAGAATAATGAGACCCCAAGACCTCATCAAGGTCACTATTTGAATTTATAGCTTCTGAAAAAACCCTTCTTTTCCTTCCAACTCAAATGTCATATCTAATATAATAATGCATAACTTCCTCACCTTAAAAATATAAATAGAATTTTATAAACAAAAAATGTCATGTTCTTCAAATACAACCTTTGTATTCAACAAAGTTGCTTCTCCTATCATTACATCTCGCAATCTAATTGAATAAACGTAAAGCAATAAACCCAGTTTAACCATTCCGATTTCTTTTACAACATAAACATCTTTTACCAAAGTAATTTAAACAAATTGCGGTCAGTATACTAACACCATATATGGTACTTCAATAACATGATTACTCCCTTTTTCACATTTTATGTGGCATAATTTGTAAGGAGAGGCACAGATGTCCCGGTAAAGAGGTGTGAGAGGTTGGTCTTTGAGGGTCTAAAGGAGAGGTAGAGGTAGGCCGAAGAAGTATTGGGGAGAGGTGTTTAGGCAAGACACCGCGATTCTCCAGCTTACCGAGAATATGACCCTGGATAGGAAGGTGTGGAGGTCGAGAATTAAGGCAGTAGGCTATGTAACTGAGTGTTGTCCTTGCTCGTTCCAGTAGTTTTAATGCATCCCTCAATGTTAGTCTTGTATTTTCTTATTATTAGATTTCTGTTATTGCTTATTATTTCTTTTGCTTCAGTTTCTGTTTGGTTTGCTGGTGTTGTTGCTTGCTGTTATTCCTTCCTCTCTCTCCTGAGCCGAGGAGCCGAGGGTCTTTCGAAAATAATCTCTCTACCTTTTTCGGGTAGGGGTAAGTTTTGTGTATATTTTAACTTCCCAAACCCCACTAGTGGGATTAAACTGGGTTTGTTGTTGTTGTTGTTGTTTTACCCGCACAAATATATATGGTTTCTATTTTCTTACTCCTCATAAAATGGGAAGGAGGGAGTATTAGATAAAAACATCAATATTTTCTAGCTCTACCTTATCTCAACTTCTCTATAGTATCATATACCAACTTTTTTTCATAAAATTCAAAAGTTTGATATGGATACACCAAGANATATATATATATAGTGATTAAAGTAGAAAAAATACCATTGCAGGCAAGGTGTAGAAGGGAGGAAGCATCAGCCCAAACAGTTTGTTCACCGGAAGGGATTGAAGGGCAAATTGGTACTTCTCTATCTCCTTCAGCTTCAGAAATTTCAGCCATTTTATCCAAACTGAAAAAATCTTATCTGGGTATTTGCTTGATTTTGTAATGAGGCTCTGAAAGTTGGATTCTTGAAACTAAAAGCAGTGTACTACAACAGCTCTGCAATAGGGAAAGAGAAAGAGGACGCTAATTGGTAGGGCAAGTAATGGGTCGGATCCTGTCGGACTTGGATCTTCACAATCCGATTTAATCATTCTTTTCTTTTTTTCTCGTGTTCTTCTTGTATAAAAAAGAAAGTACAAAACGAGAAAAATTAATTTCTCCACTTTTTTCTTCTAATTTGGTTTAATATTCAATTTGATACTTAGATATTTTCAATTTCGTATAAAATAAGTGTTTTAAACATATTTGATTATTGGTTTATATTCAATTTGATACTTAGATATTTTCAATTTCATATAAAATGAGTGTTTTAAATGTATTCGATTATTAGTTAAGTTTATGGGGTCATATGGTTGAGTTAGGCACAAAGACATATTCAAAATTTAAACTCTATGGTTCTTGGTTCATATTTAAGGTTCTAAGTATTGAATATATCTTGTTTTTTATTTTTTCTTGTAAATTTAATGAATTTTTACATATAAATTTATCATGTATATCAAAAATTACGGGTTCAATTAAACTAGTCTCTAACATACGCCCTTGGTTAGGCATAATGCATGAATACACATATGGTTGATTAGGTATGATACACACATATAAGAAGCATAAATTTAATTAAGAAGTAATAACAACAATAATAATAATAATAATAATAATAATAATAATAATAATAATAATAATAATAATAATAATAATAATAATAATAATAATAATAAGTCCTGTATTTTTCTCTCCTCTCCCCCTTTGTCTTCTTCTTTAATTTATTTTCCTCTCTTCTTCATGTCAATTTTCCCTCCCTCTCATTTCCTCTTCTTCTTTCTATTTCTTTTACCCTTCTTGTTGTCAATTTCTTTCGCATCTTATCCTTTGCATTTATCCTTTGCATTTATCGTTATGATAATGTTAACTTTTTATAATTTGATGATAAACATGCATTTACACTTGGATGTGAATAGGAACCTTATACGATGGTATGCGGATACTCTACATCATTTCGACTTTTGCTAGCACAACTCCTGTGTTAATGTAAAAGTTATTGATTTTCTAACTATTCCATGTTACCATTTTCTATTTAGAACTAGTACATCTAAAAGGCCTCAATTTGTTCGTATTTTGATTCTCATACTATTTGTTGGACCCATTACAATATTAAAAATACAGTATAGATGGGTGGTAGCGTATTGTGGTAGATGGAAGGAAAAAAATTAAAACAATGAAAAGATGCTAGTCAAAAATTGAGGAGGAGAAATGTGGATGCATTTGAGATTTTTTGTAATGGCCTAGATTATTATTTGCTACGGCCCAACCTTTAAGATCACATGATTTTATTCCCGTGGGTTGTAGTTAAAAAATGTCACAATGCTTGAATTCATGTACCTTCTTATGTGCCGCCTAACTTTCACGGATGTGAGATTTGTTAAATGCGAGTATTATAAACAAAACCCACTTTCGCATTCAATTGCTAACGGTCTGTGAGCCGTTACAGTCACTTGTAGAGACGCAGCCTTCTTGCACATATTTGCCATATCACTATACTAGGTGTCACGGGGCGATTTTTGTCAGCCCAAAGTTACACGCGCGTGACAGTCAAGTTGCGCACTTAACTCAGCCTTCCTAATATTTAATCAAATTTTCAGCAAGTTTGCACTTAAAATTATTTTAGGCAGCAAAGTAAAGAGAACACAATCAAATACGGGAAAATCTCAACCTTTGTGTTAATTCGAAAACTTAAAGGAAAACCTCACTTGACTATGATCATAAGTCGATCATAGCCCCACTTTGACAAAGAACAGAAGTCATTTATTAGCCAACACTAAGACATGCCCAATGCCTAACCTTAGTTCCTTTTGAAACACTTAGAAACCCTCACATTTCACTCTTGTTTCCCTTTTTAATTTCACATAAAATTCCCCACACAAATCTATTTATAGCACATATTTATAGCACATAGGCACATATTTATAGCACATAGGCAGCCTTTGGCACTTGACAACACATTGACACTTGTTGTCTACAGCTTTTGCCACTTGGCGGGCTAATGCTAAATCTGTTCTTATCTTATAGCTGACATCCCCAACTACATAGGCCATGATCTACACAAAATGATAGTGGATACAAGCATAAAACTGTCATAGGTACAAGTAGTTATAAAAAGGTAATCGCCCACTACTTTGGCATGTGCATTGCATCTGCATTTTTGTTGGCCAGCTGCTGCACGCCCAAGGCTGGCATTGCGCCCATCCTTGGCTCCTTTTGACATTGCTCCGCAACAATGTCTTGCCCGCAACCCGCCGCTCATGACTTTGCCGCACACGCCCGACGCCACTGTCGCCCGCACATGTCTTGGCCGAGTTTCTGTCTTGTTCATATCAACCCTTGTTTCACCCATGTCAATGCTTGTATTTTGCTTCACATAGCTGTATCTTAGCTATTGAAATCATTTGCTATCATCCCACACTGCTTTGCCTTATCTTAGCCCGCACTTGGCATCGCCACAACCCAAAGTGCTCGTGCCACTGACTTTGGCGCACATGATATGACATGCCGCTCCAACTTGCCCACACTGCCTTGTCAAGCCTTTGCCAAGCATGTCTTGCCTGCCCCAAGACCTTGGCCAATACTTGCACACTATAGCCCACATGACAATGCCTTGCCCCTTGTCCTCATGATCGTTTTGCCCGCACATAGGCTAATGGCAAGGCCATCACTCACAATCCTTGTCACAGCCGATGTCAAAGAGTTAGGCCCCTAATAAACCACCCGCAACATTTGAAATCGACGTCCTCATTGAGCCAACTCAATTAATCAGCCTCAAGCTGTTGATAACATATATTGCCCATGTTGCTCCATTCACATCTGCCACAATGGCATTTGCTTCCGCCACTTATTCCTGTTTTTTCACAGCCAGCATAGAATTTCACCCTGGTCTTCACCGGACAGTCATTCTTCAAGTGCGGTCCACCACAAGTAAAACAACCTTTCAATTTGTCGCTTCTTTCCTAGCCATTGGAAGTCTCCGTTTGCCTTCCATTTTTGGCATACCTTTCATCTTCAGCAGTTTGGACCTTCCCGATTTTCTTTCATTCCCCTGTCTTTTCCTTTCTTGCATCAATCATTGAATGCGAAGATTCAACCGGGTCATCACCCAAATTGAAATCAGCTAACGCATCTGCCACCGCAATAGCAGTATAGAGGCTTTGAACATTCTGCCTTCTCAACTCTAATTATGCCCAGACCTTCAATCCGCTCATGAAGTAATGCAGCTTGTCCTCTCTGCCATATTACTCACATTCAGCATCAAGGATGAGAAGTCCTTAACATACTCCCTTACTGTTCCACTTTGTTTAAAGCAACACAGTCCATCTCTTGCAACCCATGATGAGTTGCTTGGAAGGAATTGAGATTTTAATTCCTTCTTCAACATCTCCCAAGTTTCAATCTTGGGCACCCAACACTTTCCACTTTCACAACTCGTGTAGGCCACCACACTTTTGCATCATCAGTCAAATACATAGGTGTGATGGTCACCTTTTCCTCATCCGGCACACAAGCAACTTAAAAATACGGCTCCATATCCCACAAGAAATTTTTCAGTTCTTTGGCACTTCTTGCACCATCATAAGCCTTTGGCTCCGGAATCCTCACCTTAGTGCAGTCATCACTTCTAGGGACAATGCTTTGTAATGCCCTTCGAAGTAGAACTACCTAAGGCCATTTTTACCAGCGTAGTCTCATGCCTCACTGTATAATCCGCCTCCATCCGTGCTATTCTCACAAGAACAGAAGTATCAGCACTTATTTCAAGAGCCTGCCTAGCGAGTGCTTCCAACTGTTCCACTCTTTGGCGAAGTTCCGCATTTGTGCCACCAACCATGTTCTAAAATAGTAACACAAAATCTACAACTCGACGTCTTGCCACCTCTACAAACCTAGCTCCGCTCTGATACCAGTTGTCATGGATTTTTGTTAGCCCAAAGTCACACCCGCGCGGTAGTCAAGTTGCGCACTTGACTCAGCTTTCCCGACACTTAGCCAATTTTTCAGCAAGATTGTACTTAGAATTATTTTAGGCAGTAAAGTAAAGATAACACAATCAAATATGGGAAAATCCTAACCTTTTTATTAATTCAAAAACTTACAACGAAAAACCTCACTTGACTATGATCACAAGTCGATCACAACCCCACTTTGACAAAGAACACAAGTCGTTCTTTAGCCAACACTAAGACCTACCAATGCCTAGCCTTTGTCCCTTTTGAAACACTTAGAAACCCTCACGTTTCACTCTTATTTGCCTCTTTAATTTCACACGAAATTCCCCATACAAATCCGACTTAGCCCAAAGGTACCTATTTATAGCACATAGGCAGCCTTTGGTACTTGACAGTACATTGACACTTGTTGTCTACAGCTTTTGCCACTTGGCGGGCTAATGCTAAATTTGTTCCTATCTTATAGTTAACATCCCCAACTACATAGGCCATGATCTACACGAAATGATAATGGATACAAGCATAAAACAATCATGGGTACAAATAGTTACAAAAGGTAACCGCCCACTACTTTGGCATGTGCATTTTTGTTGGCTAGCTGCTACACGCCTAAGGCTGGAATTACGCCTAGCCTTTGCTCCTTTTGACATTACTCTGCACCAATGTTTTTCCCACAACCCGCCTCTCATGACTTTGTTGCACACGCCCGACGCCACTGCCGCCCGCACATGTCTTGGCCGAGTTTCTGCCTTGTTCATGTCAACCCTTATTTCACCCATGACAATGCCTGTATTTTGATTCACATAGTTGTGCCTTAGCTATTAAAAGCCTTTTCCATCATCCTGCACTGCTTTTCCTTAGCTTAGCTCGCACTTGGCATTTCCACAACTCAAAGTGCCCATGCCACTGACTTTGGCGCGCATGCCATGCTATGCCATGTTGCCCCAACTTGCCCACACTGCCTTGTCAAGCCTTTTCCAAGCATGCCTTGCCTTACCCAAGACCTTGGCCAATACTTGCCCACAACAGCCCACATGACAATGTCTTGCCCCTTGTTCGCATGATTATTTTGCCCGCACATAGGCCAATGGCAAGA